AAGTGGGAAAGATTTGCATGCATTTGTTAGATAATCGTCGTTCTGTTTGCCTTACTTATTGTATATCACATTTTAAAATATTTCATACTTCACAATATATGAGGCTTTGGTTAATGCAATTAAAAGAGTTTACCAGTAAACGAATAACATTTCAGTATTACTTGATGAGAATATGGAGCAAGTAGTGCAGTCGAAAAGCGCTAACAAAAATGTACTTAATGCCCAGACGTTAAGATGAGAGTAAAAATAACCGACATATAAAAAACACAGCAAAACTACAGATTATATAGGAATTTTTAGTAAAAGATTATAGTGGTCAAAAAAATACACGGTTATAAATTGGTAAAGCATACAAAATTTATAAAAAGTAAAGGTTGACAGCTCTCTCAAATGCAGGAACAAACCATTAAATGATATTAATAAAAACTAAGGATCAAGATGATTTTGATAAAAAAAATAGGAATATCCGAAAATGTGATAAGCAATCCGCTTTGAATTTCCTAAGATAACTACAAAATACCACTTGTTCGTCTTTTCAACAACTATACGATATAGTAAAATCCAGACTCGTAATCGCTATTTTTTAGCTCTCGTTAAATTTTTAATCCTACTATCTATGATGAGTTTATTTGCAAACATTGGATTGGATGAGACCCCCTCCCCTCCCGGGTCGAACCCGGGTTAGTTAATCCGAATTAATTACACCGGTTCACTCTTAAAAAAAAAATTACCCCACTTTGGGTTTTTCCCTTCAACAAAAGTAGACACGCATGCGCAACATCTTGTAAACAGCGTCTGTGACAACAAACGAAATGGAAACCGCAACGGTACTATTCTTCTTTCTTTTGTCACTGATACGGAAAAATCGGCGGAAGATTACAAATTTAAAGCAAAAAAAATAGGTTTGCTATGTTGAGAAGAATGAGGAAGTATTTGATGGCAATAAACAACTTATTATTGATGAATAGACGCTCAAATGTACAACCGGCAGAAAGGAGGATATGGAGCAAACCCCGTTCACGGAATTGGTGGGACTGTATAGTTCCAGGTTTTACTGATGAAGAATGGATCCAAAACTTCAGAATCAACAAAGAAACATTTGATTTTTTAAAAGAAAATTTACATGATACGTTAGCTAAATGTGATACTCCGTTTAGAAAAGCTTTGTTAGTGGACTTGAAAATTGCAAGTACCCTATGGAAGTTGGCATTAAATTGTGAATATAGGACTGTTGCTCATTTGTTTGGGATTGCTAGAAGTACGGCTTGTTCTGCCTTCCATGATGTGGTTACAAGCATTAATGAGACATCAGCACCAAGATTCATAAGAAACCCAACCACAGAAAAGTTTAAAGATATTATTGACGGATTTCAAAACAAATGGGGATTTCCAAACACTATAGGTAAGTTTATGAAATATGTACACTAAAATTGTATATCTAGCAAGAGACACGTATATAGGTCTTTGATATAGCACATAAATTAGACAATAATACTTAATTAGAATGCTCAGACTTAAGATATTGTGTAACAAAACCAGACTATATATTTGTGTCAAGGTTTCTTGATAAAAAAAGCACAGTATATATATTGTCATTATACTTCTTTACACATTTTTACCAGTGAGAGCTTTACAAGATGGAGATACATATGTCTTTATTTATAGTATGTAACCAGGGACCTAATAATATGTATTATTAGATCCCTGATATAACCAAGTTTTACAACATTTGCAAAGATTTTGTGACCAGCCTAACATATTAATATATAACGTATATTCTCCTTAATACACACTGATCAGTACTCGACAACAGATATACTTTTTCAAGAGCCCTGATATGAAAGAAAATATGAAACAGCGCAAAAAAAAATATACAGAAATTCTCTAACAAAGAAACACACATTTCTGAAAAATGAGATTACACTTTGTGTAAAGTCTAATTCAGAAAATCTGATTAATTAAGTTTGTCCTTTTTTTTTTATTTCAGGGGCCATAGATGACACACACATTCCAATTCTGGCTCCTAAAGAAGTACCAGCTGACTATCACAACAGAAAGGGCTTTTATTCCATTATTAGAAGGCAGTCGTTGACTCCTCATATAAGTTTTGGAATATAAATGTTGGCTGGGCAGGTCGGGTTCACGACGCACGAGTTTTTGCAAATTCATCCATATATGCACAATTTCAGAGAGGCAATGTTGTTGGAAATGAACTAGACAAAAGATTCAATAACACAACAATTACTCTATTTATTATTGGGGATGCAGCATACCCATTAATGCCATGGTTGATAAAACCTTTCAGGGACAATGGAGCCTTAAGTGCAGAAAAGAGAGATTTTAATTATATGTAGTCAAGGGCAAGGATGGTGGTGGAAAATGCATTTGGCAGATTGAAAGGAAGATGGAGATGTTTAATGAAAAGAAATGATTTATCTACACTTTTTGTACCTGATGTTGCAGAGTGCTGTTGTACATTGCATAATATATGTGAAACTTTTTTGAATGAATTCCCTAAAGAATGGATAGAACAAGAGGAAATGATTAATGCCCCAAATGATTGTCAGACAGCAACACAAACTGGAGAGCGAGTCAGGGATACAATAATTAACTACCTTTTACAAGAAAGGGAACAGTAGTTCAAATATAAAATGATCTTCAGTATTAAATTATTATTATTAGTTTAATTCTTAATTGTGATGACATCCTTCTTGTTATTAAAACATATCAGTAAAGTATGATTGCTAATGAGACTGATTGAGTTTGCCATTAACTTAGATGAACAATGTAAACAACTACAGCTCAATATATGAACTTCAACAATGAGAAAATCTTGCACTGTAAATTAAGCAGTTTATTCTCTGAAATGCTTTGAATTGGTCAATTAGCTTACTATGTAGTGAAAGCCAAGATTCTGCATTCAAGGATGTTGTAATCTTAAATTGCTAGGCAACTGTCAAGTGAGAGATTTAGCTAGCTTTAAAACCAGGTCTAATCCACAATTTTTTTTACTAAGTAAATGCCTGTAACAATTCAGGAATATGACAGTTGTTTTCCATTCAATATATGTGATTGAGCTTATCGATAAGCCATTTGATTAAAGACTTTCCTTTAGAATTTCCCCTTGAGTTTGGTATTTTTGTTATTTCACTTTTTGCTGACATCAATGACGTTTGGTCTTAAATGGAGAGTTGTTTCATTGGTAATCATACAAAATTTTCCTATTTTTATATATATTTTTAGCATACTTGAATATGTTAAAATTTATTGCCGGCTTTCCTGGAAAAAAAATAATTTCAACAAGTCCAAGGACCATCTCTGAAAATAATCATCGGACCAGAACACAATTCACATCTGTAATTTGTCATGGTTTAACTATAAGCCAAATTTGAAGTCAATATCTTTAAGCCTTAACAAAAAAATGTGGAAAACCAATTATTTGAGTGGATTTTCAAAGTTCAAGAAGCATAACTCTGCAAAAAATTATCAGACCGGAACAAAATTCTAACTTGTTCTATAACGTGTCATGGTTTAACTATATGCCAAATATGAAGTCATTACCTTCAAGCATGACGAATAAATTGCTAAAAACTTATCACTTTATATGTGATTTTTCTAAATCAAAGGGCCATAACTCTGCAAAAAGTCATCAGACCGGAACAAAAGTAGAACTTGATCTGTAACTTGTCATGGTTATACTATATACCAAATATCAAACCAATATCTTGAAGCATGACAAAAAAAAATGTGGAAAGCTGATTTACATGACAGACCAACAGACAGAGTGCAAACCTAAAGTCCCCTTCAATTTCCTTGGTAGGGGAATAATAAAAACTATATGCTATACTGAAGCTTCAAATTAAGCTACAATAGTTCATCCATATACAAGATATGATAATATTGTTATCAATTTTAAAATATTAAGATTTATAGGATAAACATCCCTATTTTTCTGCATTCTGTGAATGAAGTGAGAAAGACAGATTCTTTTTTTTTTGTTCAGTCTAAAGAGATGATAGCATTGTTTCTGTATTCACATTTAACACTTATGAAGCAAACCTCATACTGAAAATTTAACTTTTACAAATGAACAAAGAAAAATTATTTCAGGGTAAGATGACACAAGATAGACATGTTCATCTTACAATCATTTCATAGTCTAAATATAGAATACCTATTCATTATAGTAATGTATCTAAAAAAGAGACTGAACAAGAAAAATTGAACATTGACAAACGAACCATGAAAATGAGGTTAAGGTCAGATGATTCATGTACACCTTAGAACAACAATTCCTGGTATTTCCAAACACCAAATATAATTGACAGCTGCTTCTTGTATCTGAGATAAACCTGCACATACCAAATATAGTTATCCTATTTGTTAAAGAAAAAGAGAAATTAACATTATAACAAAGAATCTTAACTTTCTTTTAAAGAAATCGCTAAACCATGAAAATTAGGCCAAGGACAATAGTCATATGACCAACAGAAAAGTCATAACATAAAATATCTATATACAAAGTATAAAGCATCAAGGTCTTTTCCCTTTTGAAATATTAAGATTTAAGTTCAAGGGCAAATAACCCTGTCATCTTAGTCTCACTTTCTGCAACAGAGGTTTCAGGGGGGACAGCATTAATAAAGAGAACAAAACCGATAAGTTGTTATCAGGACATATCCTTCTATTCCAATTTTTACAAATAAATTTAAAGGAATTATATTTCTTTTCACAAACATAAATAAATGTTCTTTCATCTAGATCTTAAAATTTAAAGTTAAAATTAAAATATATTGATTGAAAAAAACATGAACTTGGTAGAAATTAAAATTAACAGCTAAAAACAGTCATCATTATTTAGCATCCTCAAGAAGCTCATATTACTGCATGATCCTTCTGGAAGAAAAGAAGCATTATTAACATTTGAGGTTGGTTTGTGGTATGTTGATGATGTTGATGTAGAATGTAATGGTGAAGCCTGGAATGTTGAATCCTGGAATGATCAATCCTGGAATGATGAAGAAGGGAATGACGATACTGATGATGCATGACATGATGTAATTTGGGATGATGGCTGTCCTTTAAGAATTGTAGCAAACATAGAAAATAGTTTCAGCTCATGTTCCTTGTCCTCTTTTCTCATTTTCTCCTCTCGAGCCTTTTCTTCCTCCCATCTCTTTGATTCATTTGATAAAAACTCTTTTTGCTGTTCTTTTAACATAGCCATAAGGCTCTCATTACTTTTTCTGATTTTCCCAGAGGCTATAAAATTATAAATGTTACTATTAAAAATCAAATTGAAAATTTCATATTTTAGAACTAATCCATGAATTTAGTAGCATATTGAAAATTTTCTTCATGTGACCAAAACAACATTCAATTGCTAACATGGGTGTTTTTCTTTCGCAAATTTAATATTTTTTCAGTATTTTTAATTCTTTAATTAATTAAAAAATCAACATAAAATTCAAGGAATAACATTTAGCGAATGAACCATGAAAATGATGTCAAGGTCATTAGCTTGCTATGTTGTGTTTATTCAGCTTTTAAAATAACATTTGTATCAGATCTTGGATTTTAAAATTATTTGGTCTCAAGCATTAAAGATGAGATATAATTAGCACATCTCCAGTAGCACTGAGGTTATGTTTATGTTATAAATCATACCACATTTTCTTATTTTCTTAAAAAATACATTTGTTGTGTACTGGAACCTGTTTCTGAGTCTAAATATGAGTCTTTTCATTCTTGTTTTCAACTAATGGTACTATCAATGGTACAACTACATGGACTAAGCATACATACATTGTATGTAATAGTATAAGAAAGGGCCTGTTTGCTTACATGTAATACTTAATGTTTTTTTCTACATTCAGGGTCATTCTGGTCTTTTATCTTTCTTTCATCTGTTTTCTGAAATAAAAAGTAACCATTCAATCTACCTGTAGGTCAACTGTTTTTTATTGGATGTCTCTTGTTACTATATATTTAAAATTTGTTTTTTTATTAATTGGTTTGTAGAAATGGTCATGTGTTTTCTGGTCTAAATTGCTGTACAATGGTCATTTCATAACCCTTTAAAGCTTGTTATCCAGTGTGAAGTTATGCTCTACATTGACTACTGTACCATCACCCAAAATTGCTATCATCAACAACATTTGGTCTTGGATTGATAGTTGTCCAACTGGCAATCTTACCACATTTTTTTTAATACATACATGTATATTTATATGTACAATGTATAAAAAAAATCATGATTATAGCCAATGCTAAATGATCATACAAGGTAATGGATCATATAGTTATGATTCAGTACAATACAAAATATAATATGCAGGATTAAAACATGTAAAAGTGTACATCACCACCAAAAAATAGCAAAATCATGAACAAATTAGTTATTGGTTATTTGAAATATTCAATATTTGTTCATGATTTTACTATTTTTTAGTGATGTTGACATTTTCATACTTGCATATGATATCTATTATATACATATACAATTCAGTTCACTTGAAAAAGACAGAAATACATATATCATAAATTATTGGGAAAGGAATCATGGGGGACAGTTACTCCTTGATCACTTTGTCAGCCTTCACGTTTAATTTTCGAGTCTACAAGTCAGAAGCTCAATTTGTTTTAAATTTTAGTTGGACTCTGTTGGCTTGTAGAGAAGAATTTTACAAGCCCGAAAGCAATTTAACAAGCCAATGCCGTAGGACTTGTGGTTAAGCGTGAAGACTGCTTTGTTAAGCATGAATATATGATTATAGAATTTTCCACCATTGCTCAAGTATATTACATGTATGTAATAAAAGTGAAACTTTCATTGAATAGGTTTTTTAAACAATTCATTAGTTTTGGAGATTTTTTTAGAAGGGAATGGGGGGTCTTGTTAAGCATGAAATTAAGATCAAGTATTACTAAATCAATTAACATGATTAATATACCTTTCTTTCTGCTCTTTCATGTGAGTCATCTGTGGTAAAGATGTGTCTTTATCAATTTGGGACTACAAATATAAATAAATGTTATTCATTAATCATGAGAAGTTTTATCATGTTTATAGCATCATAATTTTTATATGATTTGCATATTACACAGATAAATATTGAGTGAATTTATGCAAACCTTTATTCATTTTCATTTATTGACAATATTAGCATAAAAATGTATGTTGTAGCTTTTTTATGCTAGTGTTGACTTGTCCAATGGTCATTCCATATTCATATGCCTGTGTATTTAAATGATTAGAGACACCCATTTTATTTTGTAAACCAGTTCAGCCATAAACAATTCAGAGTTCTTGAAAAGACTTTTTTTGTACTTGACATTTAGACTGCCACTATATTCTCAAATCTGGTCAGTCAAAGCACACTTCTATAAGCATAAATTTTAACAAATTTTTATGAAATTATCAGACATTTTGGACAAATTTGGCTGACATTTAGACAAAAAGTGCCAAACATTTCAAATCAGCCACACTGAATGTTTTAAATATCTCGTTTAAACATTTCTTGACTTAAACCTTTATGTTCATGATGATATGTCCTTAAAGCTATACAGCTGAATCATTAAAAATTAAGCTAGCATGCATGTACATGCATGTACTGATGTAGATTAATGTAAAGAAAAATGCAAAAATCATAGCCAAAATGTGGTGTGTTGATTCGTGTTTCTGGTCCATATTAAACATAAAGATGTCTATGGACATATTTGATTGGTGTACTTATCATGTATTGAAGTTTGACTCGGTTGTACAATACTAAATACTAAAAGATGTTAAAAAACTAAAATCGGTTGTAGAAAATGGTAGAGGAAATGTAACATGTAAAAGTAGGAATGAAATCGGTGATGAAAGGAACAAATTCGACTTAGATGCGGATAGTGTATTCCATCATACTGATCTATTATACTGAGCATTTTTTTAAACAATTTTTTGACTAAGCTAAACTTATTTATTCGCTATATTTGTTCTGAACAAACGCACGAATACTGTACGCTTCCTTAATGAATGTTCGCTGTGTTACATGCAGATTAATGGGAATAAAATATCAGTGGAATATACTACATGTACAACCGTATTGTTTTATACTTACGTCTGCAATCAGTTTAACGTTTGCTGGTACCATGGTCACAGAACATGCAGAAGAACTGCTAGTGAATGGCTGTTGAAAAATACTGTCCATATTACCATCTTCATCTTCCGGCTCACTACATTCAACAGAAGAATTTTTTCTCGAGCTATGGTTTTCAGAGGAGTCTCTAACTTTTGGTGGAGTTACTGCCGGGCGCCCTCCTAAAATGTCCTCAAGTTCATCATAATATCTACAAGTTGTTCTGCCATTTCCACTCGATTTGTTGCTGTTCTTTGCATTAAAGTAGTTTCTTTTAAGAGTTTTAATTCTCTGTCTACATTCCGGTGCCGTCCGAAGATACCCCAAGCCACCCATTGTTCTTATAATTGAAGAAAATACATGGGTGTTTCTTGTTGAATTGTCCAATTCTGACTGAGTTTTTCCTTCTCCCCACGTTGAAAGTAAAGCCTTCGTCTCCTGGTCTCTCCAGGTTAGACCTCTCTTTTTTGAAGAATAATCTTGTTCGGCATCCATGGCTATCCTGATATTGGAAATGACAGACGGCTGAAAACGTCACGTAACGCTATGGCAACAACCCCACATTAACTCCACTTTGCGTTCACACTAGAATGTGGGGTAACTAATCCGGGTTCGCCCCACATTAACTCCACCTCAGATGAGGGGTAATTTTAATCCGGGCTCGCCCCAGTTTAACGTGTTCACACCATTGGAATTTAATCCGGTATAATTAATTCGGGTCGAACCCGGTTTAAAAATGCATAGTGTGAACGGGGGTACTAGATACTCACAGCCCTGTGTTATTTGGATCTACAACAGATAAGAAAATGTTTAACTTGACAGTTAATTATCTCTTGCGTTTTTAAACGATTATTTGGAACTTCAGAATGAAATCACTTGTTTGGTTGGTTTTTCCCTCAACATATGACGGCATTTACTACAAGCGCATACACGAAGTCTACTGTATTCCCACAGCACAATATCTAACCCTTCAATCAGTATAAACATAGGAAGACGTTGTACGATTGCCAATATGTCAACTGTACACAAGACCCACTGACGTGGATGTAAGGAAGCTTTTTATAAAACCATGGGCAAAACCCATTATGTGTAAACTATGTTTTAAGATGCCCCGACATAACAACATATTAAACAAATTCAAACGCGAAAATCAACGGCTTAATTTATGTTGATATTTCAACAGACACTCGGTAATGTACCACATTTTCTCCCTAACTAGCCAACCTATGCTTGTTCTCATATCCAGCATAATTTCTGCTGAACCTTCTAAAAGACAAAAATAAAGAAAAACATGCTGACAGTTTCAATAACTTAATTTTCGGATGTATTGACACTCGATTACCGAAATTTAAGTGAGTGCTTGCATCTTATATATATATCCAACTTCAATTAAATAAATGATACTGGTAAAACTAAAAACGTCTGCTTATAATTTTGATATTATACTTGATAAAAACGTATATGAATGAATTCAAGGAATAATCTATGAAAACATGACGATTTCAACTGTTGTCATCTTCCAATTTTTCAGTAGTAACTTACCCTTAGGTCAATCGTACGGTATTTGTATATCTCAATTCATTTGTTTTGTTCGTACATGTTCACACTATTTATAATTCATTAACACGTAAGTGTTCCTTACACACAAGCTGCTGTAAAAATTATGAAGAAGAACGACTGCAATCGACCCTTCATGCGTTTTACGGCCACCAATTTGAATTAATTGATCGGTATGAAGTGTCTGTGTCTCAACTCACAAGTGACATATTTTGTTGCGTTCTTAGAGCTTTAAATATCGGAAAAGTTGTCTAATCTGTAAATTTACAGATTGTGTATTGTTCTCGATTGTGACATTTTGTATGCGATTAAATTTCAAGGGCGGGTGACACATGAATAGCAGAATCCGCTTATCTTGTTAATGAAGCTGGTGTCACTCCTTTCGTAGTTCATCCCATTCCCTCAGTTTTAACTATTACCTGGATTTGTATCTTCCTAATGGATTTATGACAAACGGCAAACTTCTGTTTTGCTCGAATGTTTTTGAAAACAACAAACGCAAACACTTATATTACAAACAACAACCTTAACTTTGAATTAGTTTAAAAATTGAATGACTGATCAAAAAAGAATATAGATATAAGAAGATGTGGTATGAATGCCAATGAGACAACTCTCCATCCAAGTCAAAATTTATAAAAGTAAACCATTATAGGTCACAGTACGGTCTTCAACACGGAGCCTTGGCTCACACCGAACTGTAAGCTATAAAGGGCCCCCAAAATAACTAGTGTAAAACCATTCAAACGGGAAAACCAACGGTCTAATCTATATAAAAAACGAGAAACGAGAAACACTTATGAACCACATCAACAAACGACAACTACTGAACATCAGATTCCTGACTTAGGACAGGTGCAAACAAATGCAGCGGGTTTAAATATGCATATTTACAATGTGACGTTTGTTGTCAATATAATGGAATTTTATGCGACTGTCATACAAGTGAGAGGTTTAGCTAGCTATTCAACCAGGTTAAATCCACCATTTTCTACACAAGGAAATGCATGTACCAAGTCAGGAATATGACAGTTGTTTTTCATTCGTTTGATGTCTTTGAGCTGTTGATTTTGCCAATTTTTTGGACTTTCTGTTTTGAATTCTTCTTGTTATTTTTACTTTTTTTGGAAGGAAATGAGAAAGTGCAATTCACTTGTTTTAAAATAATCATTGCTTTACATTTTCATATTGAAGTCTTCTAATAATTGAAATGCTACTACCTCTTGCAAAACATATTATTGTTAACATTACCGGTAACAGTTGGGAAAAGTGCTTTTTATATAGTCTTGTTTTCTTTTTTTATAGAGCTGGGTCGATGGTTAACATGGTTAATTTACATCTAATTGATTTGATTTATAACAAACAATTCAATTGATAAATTATATTGGCAGAGTTGGCCTTAGTTGGATCTGACCATTTTAAGGTCTTTTTTTCGTCATATAGCTCTTTGACTGTTACATCCTCGGCTTTCATATATGCAATCTTGATCGTTCCTAATAAAGGTAAATAAAAAAAACACACGTTTTGGGCGCATACAAATTATACAGTGTTAATTAAATGTGTTTGTCTTAAAATGTAGTATAGAGGGGACGTGTCTTCATCATTGATCATGGCCGATATTTGTACGTGCTTTTAACAGACATTCATTTAATTGCAGACCCTCCAGCACTTCCTTCCATAACAAAGATACCTCAGGGTTTTGTAAATGAAAATGAAAAGATAACATTGACTTGTGAAATACTGGGAGGTAACCCTCTTGCGAACATTGTATGGCAGTGTGATGGAACATCACTTGTCATTCCCACAGGTGTTCCACCGATTAATAAATCGGTTTCCAGTGTTCAGTTAACAGCTGCAAAAAGTAAAAATGGTCAGGAATGCACATGTACTGGTTCCCATCCCGCATGGACGGAAACCAAATCATCAAGTATAATACTACTAATCAGATGTAAGTTGTATATAACAATTCGTGGAAAAAGCATTTAAATGTATTTCTTATTGACTTTTTTAGAAGAAAATATTATTATACTTGCTACATAATTTAAACATATTTATTGTGATATTGGTTATCTTATAACACGGCAAATCTTAACTTGGAGTTTATGCGAATTCCTCAGATTTAGTTTAAATCTTCTTTGTATATATATTCCAAATTCATTTTCTAGATTTGGATATTGGTAATATGCTCTTGATTCTTATATGTATCAATTTATATATTTGTTAACTGTTTAGATGCTCCAAATTCGTCCCCGGCAGTTATACAAACACCAAGTGGACCTGCCATTGCTGGAAGTAAGGTAACATTGACATGTGAAATATCAGGAGGTAATCCATTACCCACTATTGCTTGGCAGTGTCATGATTTTACAAATGTTATACCAACGACCACCCCATCTACTGATAAAGTTGTATCTAGTATAGAACACATCGTTACCAAAGTCGATAATGGAAAAGAATGTATATGTACCAGTCAGCATCCTCTGTGGACATTAGACAGGGAGGTCAAACATATAGTGACTGTTTACTGTAAGTATAACTATAAATTAGTATGTTGAAATAGATTTTTAAATATGTATGTGCATAAATCATTCCTAACGAATGCCTCTCTATACATTAAAATAATGCAAAGGTGCATTTATTAAGAGTGATATACGTAGACCGTCATACTTAGGACAATGACAAGGGAATCCAGGAATACATTTGGATAAATGATTTGACAATCACAAGCAATACTTGAGACATCAAATGACCATTAATAATCCGAAACCTGGTATCATGCGATTTAGACATTTTACCCCTGAAATATGAGCATTTAACTAATATGTGCTGACTCATTTTTCGTTAAGAATCTGTGTCAGTTTGTTAAATTTGGGATTTATTGATGATATTTCACTAACAACATGTGGTATTGCATTTGTGATACACGTTCAGTCTCCTGACTTCATTTTAAAACATGTTTTTGAATAAGATGTTTGAATGGTTTTACACTAGTAATTTTGGGGGCCCTTTATAGCTTACTGTTCGGTGTGAGCCAAGGTTCCGTGTTGAAGACCGTACTGTGACCTATAATGGTTTACTTTTATAAATTTTGACTTGGATGGAGAGTTGTCTCATTGGCACTCATACCACATCTTCTTATATCTTTTGTTCTACATTGTTATTCTTTCACAATTGTATGTAAATCATGAATATTTAGTTCGGTAGTCTGATTTGAGCCCTTTGCTAGACCCAAGTCCTAGTGAAGGCCTTCAGGTATTATTCTATCGTTATCTAGTCGTAATATGAGCTTTATATTTTAATTTTTCCTCCGTAGATAATTTGATTATATGAAAATAAGGTTAACGTTTTATCAGCGTCGATATGATTGATTTATTGATTATTGGTGTTTCACGCTATTATCGGCACAACTGGCTATAACGTTGCAGTTAGATCTGTATTGGTAGAGGAAGCCGGAATAAAAAGAGAGAACAACCGACCTTCGGCAATAAAACTGTAAATCCCATTCAGTTAAGATAAGCATTAAACGCACCTTTTACGTGCGAGGTTCTAACTCACAAGGCCGTTGATACAGAAGATAAACTACGTAAACCACAGGGCCACCGATGAACTAGGGCTGGTATGAATATCGGAACTTATATTTCGCTATGACACGAAAACACAAACGGACATACCAGGGTTAGTCATTTATAATTAATTACTGATAATAGTTGTCAAAGTTGTAACAGTTAGGTTTTGTTTTTTTGTGAAAGTTATTTTGTAAAAGGTACTATTCAATCGTT